AAATTTTACCTTTGATCACTTGATTTCAGATGGCATCTTTTAGGCTTTCCCACTGCAAAAGCATCCTTCTTTATGTACAGAGGACACCCTCCCCTCCCCTCCTAGAGAAATAATCACGACTCTCATCCAGCAACTTCATTTGACTCAAAATGCAGCCTCCCTGGGTGATGTGCCGTCGTTTCTGTGGTGTCCCGGCGGTCTAGCAGCCTGTCAGCTAGAACATGAGCTATTTGCCTCCTCTTTCCTGTACCCACCCAGCACCCTCCATGTGCTGGCTGAGTGGGACTGCAGTGACGGCAGTATAGGACCTGCCATCTGGTAAGGGAAGAGCAGGTGGCACAGAGCCGACAGAGGTCTGTGCCGATTGTGAGTCCTCCTGCGCAGGACCTGCAGATACCTGCTGATGGCCCAGCGGCGTCAGGTCCTAGGAGAGCCTGTCTGGATACGCCTGGATCTGAGCAGAGGGCAACACTGGTCCTGAGCCTTCTGTGGCTGGCTGTGATGCGGTCTCTGTGGCCACGTTTGGTGTGAGCTTAGGGAGAGAGTCCACCCTGAGTGTTGCATGGCTTTTTTTTTTGTTACAAGGTAGGTGACCTGAAGGTGTCTTTAAGGACTCAAAAAAAAAAAAACCACAGGATTTTTGCAGAACAGGCTTGAGATTCCCTTGGCAATGCAATGCCTTCAAAAATCTAGTTGACAGGGAGGGTATAGGTCAGGGCTAGAGCCTGTGCTTAGCATGCATGAGGTCCTGGGTTCAATCCCTGGTACTTCCGTTTAAATAAATAAATAAGTATAAATAAACCCGATTACCTCTCCCCAAAGAAAAAAAAAATTTTTTTTAATCTAGTTGGTTTATAGTTTTTGCATCAAAGCAGTTTCACACGCTAGTAGCTGTCTTGACGATTCTTCTCACCTTGCAGGAGGTCGTAAAGTTTCTTTTACTTACGTCTTTCCTTTTAATCTTCAATTAACTTTTCATTTCATAGTGTACCTGTTTATGTGTTCGTAAGCATATTAAAAGGTATTGTTATTTTATTCTTATGTGTATATGATAGAAGTGTCCATTTCTAGATTAGTAATTATTTGATAATCAAAATGGGTGTTTAATTTTATCAAACACTTTTCCAGCATCTATTAAGATGATCATATAGTATTTTCATTTTTAATTCAACATTGTCAGCCTAGGAAAACATTATGGTAAATGCTTGCCGTTCCCATGACCCACTTAAAGGAATAGAACTTCACCAGCGCAGCTGCGCTTCCTGCGTGCCCCTCCCTAAGCCCTTTCTCCCCGAGACCGCAGCCGCCGACCCTGCCATCCTGAGCCTGATTTCCATTATATTTATACCACCTTCATACTTTTCCACACGTGTATTTCTCTGTTAAGTGTATAACAGTGTTTAGGCTTTTAATACGTGTATGTAAAACTTCACATTGTATATATCTCTCTACAAATTACTTGTCTTTACTCAACATTGTTTGTGAGAGTCATCAGCATGTAGTTCTAGTTCATTTTAACCACAGCTGAGTGTCTCACCGAATGAGCACACTGAATGATACATCCATCCTCCTGGGGAAGTTCTTTTACACTGTTTGCACTTTCTTTGTTGTTTTTGGGTTTTTTTCTTTTGCTATTTCAATGTTATTATATCGTCTTCTTGTGTACATATGCAAATTAGGGTTGTCAGATTTGGCAAATAAAAATACAGGACACCCGATTAAATTTGAATTTCAGATAAACAATGAATAGTTTTTTTACTGTATGTCCCACCTGTTGCAACCCTACAAGAGTTTCGTTTAGGGAGCACAGCAAGGTACGTCATGTAAAATGCCCCCACCACACACAGAAGTAATAGAAGTTAAAGTTTCCAAAAATAGTAACTGCCCGGACCTACTGATAACTACCCTGCTCACTGCCTATTGAGTTCTAATCTAGCCTTCCTATTCCATCTCATTCCATTAAAAAAGGACACGCCTTGTACCACCGAATTAACTTCGCCCTGTACTAGCCTGCCGGGTCCTCGGCCTGAGAAGCCGGGGCGGAGCGCGTGCGGCCGGGAGCGCCCCTGCTGAGCTGTGCGGGCGGCAGCTTTGGTTTTAGCGGAACAGCCGTGTCCTCTCCAGGGGCGTCGGGGGCGCGGACGCTCCCGGTGCCCTGCAGCCTCGCCAGCGCTTCTTACCGTCCAACTGGATGATTTTTAAATCTCATGAATGTCAAATACGGTCTTATTTCAGTGCAAGTGTGCATTTTACTGTCTTTTAATGACACTTGCCCTCCTCTCCTCATTGTTGGTCATTCGCAATTCCTCCTCAGTGAACTGTCTACTCACATTCTTCGTCCCGTTTCCCGTCGGGTCGTTTGCCTTTTTCTTACTGAATTTTTTTAGTACCAAGTGTTTTGTTGCTGCTGTTCTGATTCTCCTCGTTGTTGTTAGGAGGGAGGTGATTGGGTTTATTTATTATTTTTTTAATGGAGGTGCTGGGATTGACCCCAGGACCTTGCGCACACTAAGCACGTGCTCTACCCCTGAGCTATAGCCTCCCCCGCTGTGAATTTTAGAAGTTCATGGCTTATTTCGCATGCTGATCCACTGTGTGTCATGTGAATTGCAGGCGTCCTAACACGTGACATCCTTTCTCTTTGTAGACGTGTGTATTTGGATCTACAAAGACTTTCATTTCAATGTGATCAACTTTTCAAGGCTTTTAAAAATGTGCTATTTGCATATCCCAAGGTCATAGAGATGAATCAGTATCTATAAATGTGCATGTAGATCCTCTGTACTTCTTCTAGAAGTTTTACAATGTAGGTCCATGGTTTTTGCTTGTTTTAATTGCTGCTATATTCCAAACCCCTGGAAGAATATTGCCACATCACGGGCACAGAATGTTTGTTGAAAGAGTGAGAGGAAAGGGAATACCTGGGGGGCAAAGTAAAATAAAAATGGAAAATCAGAATGGTTAGGGAAGACCAGAGTCTCTCTGACTTGCTCAGGGTGGAGCATGCTACCGAGGCACAAAAAATCTGGACGCTCACAAGGCTGCATCCTAAGAGGAAGGGTTGTGTGAGCTGGTCTTGAGATGAGTTAAGGCCCTGGGACCCAAGGCCACGATCAGAGCATGTTTATAGTATGCAGTAAGTAATTGCTCCACGCATGCATCAATTATATAAGATTTAGAACAAAGGAAATAGAAGTATGCATGTGCTTGAGATACTCTGTAAGCCTAATGAACAAGGAAACTCAGGTTGTGCATGTGCTGGCAGAAAACAGATAAAAGCAGGACAGGTGCATCATAGGCGTGCACCTCCCTGTGGCAATAAAGTGTTGTTAACCCTGTGGTGTCTCCAGCTGAAGTCTGTCGGGTGGTATGGCAACTCCTCGTGCATTTTTTCGTTTGGGCAGCTCACCTCGTAGAACCCCACGTCAGCCTCCCTCGGCTGACAGGTTGCCAAGAAAAAAATTGCTTCGTTGGACATTTTTTTAAACACTTATTTTATTTAGTATTTTAAGAGTGTTGAAAAATTAATCAGTGGATCTAACAAATGGAAAATTTCAGTCGAGCCAAATTGAGGATTATAACCCAGGGACGGCATCTCAGAAAGCTCCAAGAATTGTTCTGCGTGTTAAAAGTTGAAACATAACTGTGTAGGTTTTTTGAGACAGGGGGCTGTCCATTCAGTGACGTATTATTGGTGGTTTGAACAATCCAGGTTGAAGTCTTCAGTGGGCCCCTTACAAGACCAAGGAGGAACGTTGTCTTTGAAGGAGTTGTCTTGTTGGTGCCGGGAGATTGTTGCTCTTTGTGGCTGAGCAGGTATTTCTGCCGATGGGGGAGGGGGGGTCTGGTCTGGCCGGTGCTTAAATGCAGATACACACAGCGCACAGTAGAGCAGAGAGAGGGGGCCAAAGGGCAGAGGAAATTCCTCCTGCTTCAGTTTTCCTTGTCTTGCCGTAAAGTATGAATTTTATGTCACAGGCATTTTTAGCGGAAGTGAGGAAGTCTTCAGGAGATGGGAGATTCATTCAGCAGTGGGAGCTCTCTGATGACCGCTGTCCGCGTGCTGGGTGCTCCCCACGTGACAACGGGATGAGAGCTTTCTCCCCTCACCGCAAACCAGATGAGGGGTTTTCAAAGACCCACTCCGGGAGCCTGTCACGTGCTCCCTGGCATTTGAGTGACTCAGCTGAGACTTGCTGGAGCCTCTGGGTGACAAAGAAGAGAGAGCTTCATAGGAAGCAGCCTACGCCCCCGGAATTGGGCAGAGAACGTCTTTCTTTTTTTTTTTTAATTGAAGTACAGTCAGTTACAATATGTCAGTTTCTGGTGAGCAGCACAACGTCCCAGTCATGCATATACATGCATATATTTATTCATTTTCATATTCTTTTTCATTAAAGGTTATGACAAGATATTGAATATGGTTCCCTGTTCTATAGAGAAATTTGTTTTTTTAATCTATTTTTATATATAGTGGTTAACATTTGCAAATCTCAAACTCCCAAACTGATCCCTTCCCACCTCCTTTCCCTGTACCCCACAATCGTAAGACTGTTTACTGTGTCTGCCAGCCTGTTTCTGTTTTGTAGACAAATTCATTAGTGCAGAGAAAGTCTTTAGCTGAGTCATCTTTCAAAGGACATGCCCAAAGGGTTGGCCTTGAGGAGAGGAGGGAACATGGTGCCAGGAGGAAGGATGCGTGTGGGAGGAAACCCCAGAAGGCAGGAGCTGAGGATGGGACAGAAAGAGGAGCTGGCTGGTAGGAGACCCCCTGAGGACGAAGGGCTCTAAGACTGTACCAAGCAGACCAGCAGAGAAAGCACCGCGATGGGCACCACAAACAGAGATGCCCCGAGGCAGGATGACAACCGCTCCAGCTTCTAAGCTCCGCCAACAACTCTCCCTGCCTGGGCGGTGTCGGGGCCCGCGAGGGGGCGGGTACTAGACAAACATCCAGTGAGAGGGGTCATGGGGACACAGAAGAAATGCCCCCCCCCGACATCCCTTCCCATTGCAGGTTTCCAAGCTTAAGTCAGACGTTCTCTGATGAAGGGGAGAGAATTAAATTACACGCACAAAAAGTCAAGCTTTGAAAATAGATAAACCTACAACTAAGAGAAGAAAAACTGTGGGATCTGCTGACAAACCTCAGCTGTCCAGAAAAAAGTTGTCCATCTTAAGCCATTATCCCTGCTAATGACCATCTCGGCTAAGAAGCACAGTTTATTCAGTAAGTCAGTACATTGCATTTTTCTGAGTAATTATTTGAATCTAAATTTCCAGGTATGTTGCTAGAGATACACAAACTGGCTTTTTTTTAATAACATTAAAATCTCTGTGCCTGAACTTACATCTCTTTCTTGTTTCTACTGTGGTTTATACGTAACTTCTTTCCTCTTGATCAGATTTACCTATTTTAGTGAGTTTTTCAACTTACAAACTTTTGATGATATTGGTCAAGTTTATGCGTTTTGTTTCCTGTTTCGTTAAGCTCTGCTTTTATGTTTCTTGATTCCTTTCTTCTCTTCGTTGGGGTTATTTGATACACTTTGCCCGTCTCCCTGAGTTGCATGCCTAGTTTGTTTTCATTCTTTCTAGCTTTCTACTTCCCGTTTTTAAGGCAATGTTTTCACTTGAGTACCATTTTAATGCTGTTTTAAAATTATTCTTGACCAAAGATTGAGGAAATGCTGTTTTTCTTTTATAGTACTCAAGTTAATTTTTTTCATAAGGCTATGATGTTACCCCAAAACTGGGTTCGTGTCTCGGTGGGTGTCAAGCCGAAAGATCCAGAGAGCTAAAGAGCAGGAGAAGGAAGGGTTTATTCCTTGCAGCAAATAAGGAGAACGCGGGGATCTTTCCCAAAGCAGTGTCTCCCCAGCAGCAAAACTGGGGAAGCTTCAAGCTGAGGGTACATGCATATTCATGAAGGGGCTTGAGCAAAGGGGAATTCAGCATAGAATTGGGGCAAAGGTCGACGGAGTCCAGGCTTTAGTTGATTAAAGCCAAGAGGGTCAGAAAAGGTCAGCATCACATGATCCCTTAGGTCTCAGCTGATCTGGTGGTTGGTGCTGAGGGGGGTTTAAATTCTGCAAAACAGCTCAAGAAAGTGTTTTAGGCTATAATCTTTACCATTGAAACAGAACTGGGAGTTGACAACTGATTTATTATCTCTCGCCTGACAAAAGGTTTTTTTTTTATTCCCCTAAGATAATTATTACTGGACCTGTTCAAGGTCAGGCATTGTGGCCATGCTTAGATTGTAGCTGCTCTTCTGTCAAGAGGGAGATGCCTGGTTCTCTCTCTCTGGGACCCCCTACCTTATCCGCTTACAATGAGGTTCAGGAAGCCGAGGGACAGGCATCAGGAGAAACCAGTTTTCAAGATGGTCCCACTTGGTGGGGGGAGTTAACTAAGTTTATTTATTTATTATTTATGTATTTATTCTTAGAAGAGTACTGTACTGGGGCTTGAACCCAGGACCTCCGGCATGCTAAGCATGTGCTCTACCACTTGAGCTATACCTCCCCACCAATTTATTTTTTGACTTAAGATCCTTCAGTAAGTGAAGATTCTCTGCTCTGGTTTCTCAACCATCTTGTATTTAGACTTCATCGACATTTCAGAACTATGCACAGTGAAACTCTTCGTTTCATGTGTCAGGAGGGGCACGCACAGCAGAGACATGGTCAGAGCAACTCTGTGGAGCAGCCCGGTCATCGCTCCCGGAGGTAACTGGCGGTGACCACAGCCTGGTCATCGCACCTGGAGGCAGCCGGCAGTGACCGCGTTCAGCTGCCTGACTTCATTCCTTCACTAGGAGCAAGATCACCCTCGATTTTCTAAAAGACCCACATCAGCAAGCAAATCAGCAACCAGGACACAGAGCAAGCTCTGACGACGCAGCAGCCCACCTCCGGCATTTTTCCCTCCTTTGTTATAATTTATATACACAGCCTAGAGGTGAGGTGTAGTTTTCATCCCTTACTTATTGTCTTGCTTTTCTCAGTCCTCCTTCCCCTCTGACATACATATTTAGCATGCCATGAGTCATTATGAAGCACTGCTTTCCAGTTTATCTGAACACGTTTCATCAATCCGCAGGCCGTCTGTACCCGGCCCACCACGTCAACTGATCGGGCACGGGTGTCACATTGCATCGCTTAACCCGTAAGGGTAACAAAAACCTGACGGCTCTGACACATCCCACTGTGCGCCGTGCACAGCTGCAACCCTGCCCAGAGGTTTCCACAGTCCCCTCCCCACCCGCACAGTCCTCACCCCCGTCCCTTCCCTCCCTTCCCCCTCAGTCCCAGGCCCTCTCTGGCCCTGCAGCCATTCCTTCAGCCAGGTCAGAGTTTACTGCCTTCTGTGCATTCTTGCTCCAAGTCGGCATGTTTCTCTAGTCCGCAGAGGCTCTGATGACTGGCTGCGATGAAATGTCTCCACATGGTATTCCTGTCACATACACAATCACAAAGTTGAAAAACAGTTTCTTTACAGAGTCTGTCACTTGGCGCAGTATCACCGAGCACTCAAAGAATAGTTTGCCTTGCGGATGGGAATATTCATTTATACTTGAATATTGTATATATTCTGGTAGATTCTCTCACTCTGTCCACACACCAGTCATCTAGACATTGTTTTAAAGTCTAATGTGTAGTGGGGAGGGTGTAGCTCGGTAGTTGAGTGCAGACTTAGCACACACAAGGTCCTGGGTTCAATCCCCAGTACTTTCACGAAAAAAAAAAGTCTGAAGTCCTCCAGTGGGGCTCAGGAAGGGAGGTCCCAGGGGAAATGGACCTGGGAGGATGCACTTGAGCAAACGGAAAGGTGACGTCTAGACTATTTTGCGGCTCTACTGGGGAAACCGGGAAGAATTAGCAGTAAAGTCACGCAGAGCGTGTTCTCACTTGATGTGAGAAACAAGAGCTGGACAGTACTTGCATCCCCTACTGTGGGAGCGGAGCACACATCCCCCGTTGGCTCTTGGGATTTGCGAATGAAAAGAGGGATGTCTTCCTGCTAGCTTTCAAGATTCCGGTAACAACGCGGTACTTTGCGTAGGACATCTATTTGTCCTAAGTACGTGGAACTCTTCCCGCTTTTGTGCCGGTGGCAGAGCTCGGAGGGCTGCGCCACCTCCCCAGATCCTGGCCAGGAAGCCCCATCTCTGCACGCATCCCGCAGGCGTCAAATCCTGACGGTTCCTTGCTGAGGACGGTACGCAGACCTTTGGTTTCGGGTAACAACAGTTCACCTCTTTCTCCCAACGTCCTGTGCGCAGCCCAGACCTTACACCTCAGAGATTCCCCTGCTTGCTTCATACACCTCTGTGCAGATGTCAGGCTGGCGGTCGTGCAATGTCTCCCTTGCAGAAAGTGGGCCATCGCAGGGTCAGTCTCTGGAGAAGACGCCAGTCCTCAGACAGGGAACGAGACCTCCTGAAACACGTGCAGGATGAGATACAGGAATCCCATCTCTTTCTGGCCTTGTGTTTTGCCTTTAATTGGATAGCAATCTGCCTCTTACCTAGTGGTTCTGTGTTAATTCATTGTGTAATATTTTTGAAGGCATTTTCCACGACAACAAGGAATCCAAACAAGTAAATCTAACAGCTGGAATGTTAAATTTCCCTATTGAGCGAAAGGGAACACTGAGCAAAGGAAAACTCTCTCAACTTCTCTTCCAGCAGCTGAAATAGTCTATTGACATTGATTATTACAGAAATCTTAAGTTCTGAGTTGCTAAAATGTGGGAAATCATGTGGCTTCTAGAAACAGGAAAATACGGTAACTCTAGAATTCTAAACAACTTTTCTGTTCCTCAGGCATGGTGCCAGGCATGAAAGACCGTTGAAAACACAGCCCCAGCCCTCAGGAAGTTTCTGTAAGATGACGTAATGGTTAACACAGAAGAAACCACGGGGAAGAAAGCAAAGCAAAGACTACGTCCGATTACATGAACAGTTATGACGGGAAGGACTAGATCGAGCGCCGAAGGATGAGGGTCAGCTCCCAAGGTCAACTGATGCAGTTGCTCTGTTATCCACCCACCAAGAAACTAAGTGAATAAAGAATGTATTCCATTTTCCATATGAACACAGCTCAGAAGTTCTGCATTTTCCTGTCTGTGCAAGCACAACTAGCATGGTTGATGCTGAACATCTGGAACCCTTCTGGCCATGTGGAACTTGGAACACAGCCTTTGGCGTCCTTGCCAAGGGTGTGTGTATTCACAACTTAGGGAGGAATCCCAAGTCGAATTCCACAGTTAAGAGCAAATAGAGTTTTTAACATACTGAAAAAGTACTCTTCTGTGTGGTAGAGAAACACAGCCAGTAAAAGATGGAACCTCGGGACAACCCAAATGTCAGCGTGGCACATCTCCTGCAGAATCTGGATGTACTCAGAGATTCCAGTGATTTTATGTTCTTAACAGAGCCCAGATGCTCCTAAGTATTCCCGATATTATTAAAAATTAAACTGAATATAAGTGGCCACAAAATATTGCAGTGAGTGTTCATATCATAATTGTTTTGAACACAGATGTACAAACAGCTGCATCCTTTTACCAACATGGCTATTTCAAATCTACTGTAATCAATTCTTATATATTATTGATCACCTTTTTATATTTTTTCTTTCGGGGATCCTGTAGCCAAAGGGGATAAGATATATTTAAATTTCTGTCCTTGAAATTATTATTCATCATGGCCAGGGCAAGAAGGTAGAAAATAGAATCTTGAAACAAAACAAATGACACAGCTGACAATTGAAACTCCATTTTTTTTTAGAAGTCACATGTTATCTTGCCTTTGCTTAAACATTTTTCAGCAACCACACAAAACAGTTCTATTGTGTGGAGGGAAGGAATTTCTGAATATGGGAAATTTTAATTTTTTAGGAAAGCAGAATTCAACACACACTTTTGAAAGGGGAGCCAAATGTCATACTATAAGTTAATTTAACTTTTCTTTGCCAGTTGTATTTAACTTATTGGTATATCAACCAACCGTATTTTTATCAAATGTCAAAGACACAGCTCGTGACTGTGATGGAATATTTAGCACAGCTGACCACTTCACTATGGCAAAATTATCTCGGGTGAAGGATCGTTAAAAGCAGCTTTGTAACAATTGTAGATGCCCGGGGAAATGGTAATTTAGCACCAGAGACTATTTACATAAATACATTTACATCATATTTACATGTACATAGGGATGTTCTATTATCAAATAACCAGCTACACTAAATCCAAACTTAAAAAGTAATATTTACTAAGGAATAACTGTTTACCTTTCACGAATGTCCAGGCTTTACAAAATAATTTGTTTCAGTGTTGTTTTTTTTTAATAGGGAGCACTCCTTGTGCATTTAAAAAAATGATTGATCAAATATCATTTTTTTTCAGGAACACATTCTTTTTTAAGTGAGATTCTCTAGAAGGTACATAAACGAATTTGTTCCAGGAAAGTCAGCTGAGGAGCGCTTTGAGAGGTGGTTACATTGCTCAACAAAGCATTGTTCAGAACCTTGTTGATGTAAAACCCTGAGGGAGGGAATGTGTTCCAGAATAAAGGCATCATAAGGCATTGAGGGCCAGTCTGGTTTGTCATGTGGCTGAGGTCTTAACAGGGAAGAGGAAGTTACAGAATTCCACAGAGCAAGTGACCTGCAAGGGTTGGATTTTTTTTTTTTTTTTTTTTTGGCTTGATGGTGAAGTTCAATCTTTCCAAACAACAGCAGCACTAATTATGATCAGACTATTCATGGGTGTTTCAGGAACCTTAAAAAGACAAACTTCTCCATTCTGGAAATTGAATAAAAATATATGGTGGCTACCGTCATCTTTATTTCTTCCCATGAGCAACATTATAAGCCAGAAGGAGACCCAAGGGGCCTCCTTTTAAGTAAGAGTGCTGTATCTTGGTCACAGCAGGGCGTATTAAAGAGATTTTAATGTGCAGTAATATCTTTGGTTAGTCATACCCTACCATGGTAATTGTTAGTGTCTATCCATATTTGTGGATCTGTTTTTGTGTTACACCACTGAAAGTCCTACAGAAAGTACCACGTCCTGGACAGTAACTACACTAGCATTATAGCTACCCTGTGACCATGGTTGGCCCTAAGCCCACAGTATTTTGATATTACTATATCTACATAAATATTATTCAGAGATGAGTTGTGTAAAGTGATACGATTACATTTCTTTTCATGGTCAATTTTCCTCACTTTTTTTTTGGCTGCTTTGTACTCGAATTTCATTAATTCATCTCCCCACACCCAGAAGCAAGAATCTCTCACTATGTTCAAATGCATTTACTTCTCGTGGAGACATTCTTTCTAAGCCTTCTATCACCCAACTTCACGTAGGACTGCAGAGCTGTCAGCCCAGTCACCTCTCTCCTGTGCCGAAGTCTCTGCGCTGTGGGAAACTTCTCAACTGTGATTTCAACATCAACCCACTGGTTTTTCAATAGCATGTTGCTTAATCTCCATGCTTTCCTTTTTTTCTCCTTTGTTTCTTTGTAGTTGATTTCTAGTTTCATGGCCTTGTGGTCAGTAAAGATGCTTGAGATAATTTCTATCTTCTTAAAATTGTTGAGGCTTTGTGGGGAACTTCTCATCTCTTCCTTTTTCTTGTGGTATTCTTATTTGGTGCAGCAAATGCACATTTACTTTATAATTTACTTCCTAATAAATGGAGAGTGAGAGAGAAACTCATTGATTCCTTGTTGATATAAAAGTGTCTTCACACTTGAGCAATACGGTTTGGCCCAGAATAGATTTCTAGGTTAGATGTCACTTTCCCTCATAATTTTGAAGGCATCTCTCCATTGTTTTCTAGCTTCAGGTAGTTCTGTTGAGAATTCCAATCCACTCTGATTCTCAGTCATGGGTATATGACCTGTTTCTTCTACCTGGGAACTTCTAGGATCTTCTCTCTTCTCTGATGTTAAAATTTCACAAAGATGTGCAGTAACGTGAGTCCTTCTGAAGATGAATTGTTCTGGGTATTCGGTGGGTCCTGTTAACCTGGAGACATTTGTTCCCCAGTTCTGGGACAGTTCTTGCATTTGTTGTGTGACAATTTCCTCCTCTAGTATTTGGATGCTGGACTTCCTGGATCAACACTTGATCTTATTATTTCTCTTCTATTTACTCTCTTTTTGAAGTATTAGTTCCCCTTTTTGAAGTATTAGTTCTAAGCCTTCTAGGAATTTTTTATATTTTTGTCATAATGCTTATAAATTTCAGAGATCTCATTCTAAAAACAAAACATTTTGAATAATCCTTAAAAGTATCATCCTGTTCCCCTTTTACAACTGCAACGACTCGTTTACATCTTCTACTGCCAACTTTGATCCAACCCCTTCCACCCCCCCAGCACCTCATAAGGATGCTTGTGATTACAGCGGACCCAACTGGATAATACAGAAGAGTCTCCCTGTCTCAAAATGCTTAACCCAGTCACATCTGCAAAGTCCCTTCTACCATGTAAGGTAACATATTTACAGCTTTGGAGGATTAGGCTATGGGCATCTTTGGGAGTCCATTATTCAGTCTACCACCACTAGTAACTCACATATCACTTCAAATTTAGTAAATGCGAAAGCCATCCTCTAATCATCTCACCTCCCGCACTTGCTCATCTTACTGTGCTCCACCTCAGCAAACGTGCTGGCATCCACCTATTGGCTTATCCCACCAACAACTAAGTTCTTCTGATTCTTCATTCTAATATATATATACACATATGTGTATATATGTATATTTCTCTGATTTTCTCCATCTCCACTGTAACTGACACATCAGGACTACTGTAATAGTCTCCTAGTGTGACTCAGCACATCCCAGACTTACCCACTCACCCATTCTGTCCTCTAAGCAGTAACCAAAGTAGTCCTTTTAAATGGAAATCAAATCATGTAACTCTCTTCAGGAGCTTCTGAACAGCCCCGCCTGCTTCTCCAGCTTCCTGTCAAGCCATCCTCCTCTTACTGTTGTGTGCTGGCCACAATGGCCTTTCAGCTCCTGAAGTGCATCAAGTTTCACTTCAACTGCAATGCTTTTTCGATTGCTGTTCCCTTTGTCTGAAACACTTCTCCTCCATCTGTCCCTTGGCTATCACTCTTCAGCTTAGAAGTTGCATCTTCAAAGATGCCTTCCTTGAAATCTTAGGCTAATTTTTGTTCCCTTAAAATACCTTTCCCTAGTCCCTTGAGCTTTTTCTAAACACACATCATGACTCTAATTTTTTGTGTAATTATTATATTTTAAATTAATAAATTTTATTTTTCAGAACAGTTTTAGGTTTACAGAAAAAAATGAGTGAATAGTACAGAGTTCTCAGGCACTTCATCTCCCCAGACAGTTTACTCTTTCATTAACATCTTGTATTACTGTTGTTCATTTGTTACAGTCGATGAACAAACGTTGGTACATTATTTCACATTAGAGTTCATTCTTGGCTTTGAACAATGTGTTCCATTCCACCAACAATTCTTTGACACTAGTTGGGTGTCCTACAATTTCATTCATTCTGGCCCTGGCTACCCAGAGTTTGTGTCAGATCCTACAAGTCAAAGGACAAAATCTCTAACAAGACTGTACCCACTTCACTTGGGAGCCAAAAATGTCATCCTCATGGTGTCTGCACTTCTGTCCAGCCTGGCTACAAATTTGGTGATTCCCATAATGCCCCTTCAAGTTTGATACTTAGCTAGAGTGACTTACAGAACTCACTGGAAGCACTGTACTTTGGATTACAGTTTTATTATAATGTATACAAATAAACAGACAGATGAAGAGATACCCAGGGCAACCACTGACCTTTTTACTACCTTTGTAATATTTCTTTTTTTCCAGAACATCTTATAGTTGGAAACATATAGGATGTAGCCTTTTCAGACTAGCTTCTTTCACATAGTAATATGCATTTAAGGTCCCTCCATGTTGGCATGGCTTGATAGTTCATTCCTTTTTATTGCTGAATAATATTCCATCTATGGATATAACATGGCTTATTTAGCCATTTACCTGTTGAAGGATATGAAGGATATCTTTCTTGCTTCTAGTTTGGGGCAATTATGAATAAAGCTGCTATGAATATTCATGTGCAGGGTTTTGTGTGGACATAAATTTTAAAATCATTTGAGCAAATATCCACGAGCATGATAATTGATTCATAGAGCAAGACTACACTGCGCTTTGTAAGAACTTTCAAATTGCCTTCCAAAGTGGTTGTGCCGTTTTGCATTGCCATCGGCAGTGAATGAGAGTTTCTGTTGCTCCACACGCTCACAGCTTTTTGGCATTGTCAGTGTTTCAGATTTGAGCCATTCTAAACGGTGTGGAACACTGGTATATCTCATTTTACTTTGCAATTCCCTAATGCCATGCTGTTGAGCCTCCTTCCTATGCTCATTTGCATGTCTTCCTTGGTGAGGTGTTTGTTCAGATCTTTTGCCCAGTTTTAAACTGGCTTCT